CCCATCTCCAAGACAGTAACTGTTTACAGGAGTAGAAAGCCCAGTCTGTCTTCCACAGAGCTATGCGTGGTTTCAAGCTGCGGACTAAACAGATCACCGTCCAACTCGTAACAACTACACTACCTGGACTCCTTTTTTGTATTTTTTGGAAAATAAATCCATCACTCTTAACTTTTTTTTTACATGAGGAGCCCTGGCGGGCTGCTAATCGCAAGGTCAGCAGTTTGAAACCACCAGCTGCTCCCAGGGTGAAAGAGAGGGCTTTCTACCCTTGCAAAGACCGATCACTCGGAAACCCCAGGGGCAGGACCACCCGAGGCTGCCGGGCCTCTCAGAGTCCGAACAGAGTTGGTTTCTGAGAACACAAAAGTGGGGCAGGGAGTGTGGTTTCTGAGGGAAAAAACTTATTTTAAAAGTATCTTTGTGAGCTAACCTGTGCTTGGCCACCACTCTTTCAGAACTCCAGAGATGGGGGGTGGTATGGGGGAGGAGGGAGGAGAGGAGCTGATACCAAGGGCTCAAGCAGAAAGAAAAGGTTTTGGAAATGTTGATGGCAGCATATGTACACATGTGCTTGATACCATGGATGGGTAGATGGATGGATTGTGATAAGAGCTGTAGGAGCCCCCAATAAAAAGGATTTATTAAAATTAAAACAAACATTAACAAAAAAAACCTCCAGAGATGGTGAGGATAACTAACATAGATTGGGGGGCTGGGGTGCAACGACCATTTAGGCACTTTCCATATTCTCAGTCATCGGGTCTTTGTGAAGAGGTGAGTGTTGCTTTCATCTTGTGATGGTTGCCAGGGTCTGTGGAGTGATCTTACATGTAACACCAAAGCAGTGCCCAGGCCTGCCCCATCCTTACAAGAACAGGTATGTTTTAGGCCATTGATGGAGCCCCTGGGTCAGTCCTTCTATTCCATGGACCCTCTCTCTACTTGATTGCACCCATGTCCTATTCTGAGGATTGATCCCATGTCACAGAGGAGGAAAGTAACTGGCCTCGGATCACAGAGCCAGGATGCCAACTCCATTAGCCTGACCCCAGAGCCTACACTGCTAACACGGCCCGAACAGACCCAATGATTTATTTAGCCCCTACTCTTCTTTCAAAGCCAAGATCAGATGTCGGGGTCTGGATGAAGAGCTCCCTGGGAACCAGGCAGCGCAGGGCAGTGGCTGACGGAGAGTTAGAGGCAGGTCAACAGACTCAAATATCGGTCCTGCTGTCACTCATGGTGTGCCCTGTAGGAAGGATGTGATCGCCATGCTCTCTTGCAAGGTGCATTCAGGCTGCAGTCTGCCAGGACAGATGCGTTGGCATCTTCTGGCAGTCCACGATGCTTTCGATCGCCTTCCCCAGCACCGGAGTTCAAAGGCATCAATTCTTCAGTCTTCCTTCCTCGCTGTCAACTGTCACCTGCATAGGAGGCCACTGAAAATGAGCTCGGTTTGGGCGCACCGTAGCCCTCAAAGTCACATCCTTGCTCTTGGGCACTTAGAAGAGTGAATGTGTTCGCTGTGATTATTTTTGGTTAAGAGTCAGTTTTCCCCAACACCTGTCTCTCTCTGGGCCAACCCTCCCTTTCTGGGGCTGCCTGGTCCTTCTCTCAGGAACCACATGACTGTCGTTTCTTAACAGGCCTGTTATTGTTGGGCCAACGCACCACCGACCTCCTAGTTCCACCGTCACTTCCCAAGATTGGGTTTGGGTCCCTCCACATTCTGGCATGTGGAACTTCCCTGGATCAATGCCACAGACTCAGTGTGTGCCTTGCTCACAGCTGTTTCTCCATCACTGATCGGGTGGGCGTGAGCTAACAGTGGGGCCCCGCCCAGTAGACGGCCGTCCCCTTCCAGCGTCAGGTGATGCCCGTCAAACACACAGAGGACCTGCTTGCCCCCATGGTCTCCATCACAGAAGGCCTCCCATGAGACCATGAGACAACAGGGGCTAGGACCAATGGAGCCTGCCTCCTCGACACCACCGTGGGGATAGTTTAGCTGATGACACAGTGCGCAGAGTCACCCACAAGAGTGAGGGGCTGCACTCCAGAATACCTGTCAGGACAGAGCACCAGCTTTTCCCAGTTCTCAGAGGTTGTTTCCCATGGCAACGTTCCCCCACAACTGTTTCCGTGTTGTTACTGTTGTTGACTCATGTCCACCTTACATCTAGCAGAGCAAAATGCAGTCCGGTCCTAGACCGGCCTCAGAATCTTTGGCATCCTTGAGCCTGTGGTTGTAGCTATTGTGTCCGTCTATCTCACTGACAGTTGCCCTTGTTTTCAGGGACCTTCTTCTTTACCCAGGGAGATGTCCTTTTCCAGGGATGAGTCTGGCAGCTTGTCCAAAGTCATCGAGCTGAAAAGCTTGCCTTCTTTGTCTCTAAAGCGCATCCTGGTTGTTTCTTCTGGTAGCCCATGGTGGACTGGGTGCCTTTCGCTAACGTCAGAGTTCCAACACATCCATTCTGGTCTTCCTTTTTCACTCTTCGTGTTTTACGGGGTGCATCTGAAGCATGAGGGCCTCTGTTTTGCAAACACCATCTCTGTTCATTCTCTCGGCAATTGCGGGAAGCAAGTTCTTCCACTGT